GAGAGAGAGAGAGAGAGAGAGAGAGAGAGAGAGACAGAGAGAGAGACAGAGAGAGAGACAGAGAGAGAGAGACAGAGAGACAGAGAGACAGAGAGAGAAAGAGAAAGAGGGAGAGAGAGAGAGGGATGGAGATTGGGGTAAGAGTATACCGAAGTATGGGTAGAGAGAAGTATGGGTATTCAGAAGTAACGGTATACATAAATAAGGGTCTGCAGAAGTAAGGGTACAGAAAAGTAAATCGGTACAGAATAAGGGTTTACATAAGTAAGGATATACTACATAAATAAGGGTATGCAAAAGTAAGGGTATAGAGAAGTAAGGGTTAACAGAAGTAACGGTTGAATGGTAGCACTGTTGATGGTATAGAGTAGTAAAAGTTGAAGCTTTAGAGATGTAAGAGTTAGGGTATAGAGAAGTAGAGTATTGCGAAGTAAGGGTATGGGATATAAAGAAATACGAATTGAGAGAATAGAAAAGTAAAAGTTGAGAGTATAGAGAGGTGACATTTTAGAGTATAGAGGAGCAAGGATTGATGGTATGTAGCAGTAAGATTGGGGGTGTGGAAAAGTAAGCTCACGGATTTAGAGAAGTAAGGAGTAAAGCCTTAGAAAAGTAAGTGCTAAAGGTATACAGAAGTAAGGATTATATCCATTGGGAAATGATGGTTAAGGGTATAGAGAAGTACGGATTATAGCCATGGAGAAGTAGATGTTAAAGGTATATATAGAGAGAAGTAAGGATTATACTTCTGATACTTAGGACTTCCGTAACGAGCGACCACGCCAATCTTCGCAATAAAGAAGAGACTTTTGAGTGGGCTATGTAAAAGATAGGGTTTATATTTGTTTGGGCAATAAAGAAAGTAAACTGATGTTGTGTTACTTTGTGTTCTCTTGCCTTCCTTTGTCTCTTCACCTGGAATGGGTAGATCTATTATTAGTAACATATTAACATCTGAAAGTATACACAATAATAATGTGACATGTTTAGAAAAATCAGTGGCGTGACCGTGATTCGAACCTGTTAGTGAGGGAAGCAAACATGATTAGTAGTCCAGCAGCATTGCCACTATGCCAAACAGCTGGTGTTGCAAGTTCGTATAAACCTACTTGAGGGAAGTGGGAGCGTACTACCTTTCAAAATTCCCAAAACTCAACTATTTTTTACTTCGAATGGTTTTGTCCAGGTTCATTCGCAAAATTACGACAGCTGATGCGATCGGCATAAAAAAAGACAAAATAGTAAATTTCTGAGTCGACTCTACCTCATTTGCATATAAAAGAAACGACTTCCGTTTTTTGAGTTGCCATCGTGGACAAGCGTGGCTTTCTCCGTCCGGCACCTTCATATGTTTTTGTTTTTTTCTATGTGCCCGTGTCGGGGTAAGGGGTCAACAGAAAAATTATACAAATAAGGATTTAATTTCGCAAGTGTTTTGAACGGAAGAAGACTCGGAAATAAATAACCTAAAGCTAAAACTTACCTTAATCAAGGAGGCAACCCCCCCCCCCCCTCATTAAAAAAAAGAAAAGAAGAGTTGCGCCTGATCAGGGGGGCAAGCCCCCGTGAACCCCCTTCCACCCCACCAATTACCCTGTAAGAAAAGAAAACCTTCCCTCCGCAACGAGCGACCACCTCAATAAACACAATAAAGAAGAGTCCTAACCCGAACCCTGACCCAACCCCTAACCCTACCCATACCCTGCCCTTACCCCAACCTTATCCTTAAAACCTAACCCTCTACGAACACAATACAGAAGAGACCTACCCCTACCCCTACCCCTAACCCTCAACTAACACAATAAAGAAGAGACATACCCCTAGTTCCTACCCCTACCCCAACCCTACCCCTTACCCTAATAATCCTCAACAAACAAAGTAAAGAAGAGACCTACCCCTACCCCTACCCCTAACCCTCAACTAACACAATAAAGAAGAGACATACCCCTAGTTCCTACCCCTACCCCAACCCTACCCCTTACCCTAATAATCCTCAACAAACAAAGTAAAGAAGAGACCTACCCCTACCCCAAACCCTAACCCCACTCCTACCCTTATCCGTGATCCTAACTCTACCGCATACTCTACCCCTGCCCCTACACCATACCCCTACCCTTCACAAACACAATAAGGAAGAGGCCTTACCCTAACCCCAAGCCTACTCCACCCCACCCCCACCTCTAACCCTCAACAAACACAACAAAAATGAGACCTACTATTCCCCCAACCCCTAACCCTGCTCCTAACCCTACCTCCACCCCTACCCAACCCTAACCCCAATGATCTACCCCTAACCCTAAACAAACGTAATAAAGAGGAGACCTTACCCTACTCCAAACCCTAACCCTTAACAAACATAATAAAGAAAAGACCTAACCTTACCAAACGCAACAAAAAAGAGACCTACTATTACACCTACCCCTAAACAAACGCAATAAAGAGGAGACCTACCCCTACCCCTACACCAAACTCAAACCCTCAACAAACACAATAAAGAAAAGACCTAACCCTACCCCCAACCCCTAACCTTAAACAAACACAAGACAAGGCCCACCCCTAGCCCTAACCCGGGCCAGACCCTACCCCTACCCATACCTCTATCCCAACCCCAACCCATACCCCTATCCCAAGCCCTACCCCAAGCCCTAACCCAGACCCTACCCATGCCTGTACCCCTATCCCTAAACCTAATCCTAAAAATTTTCTATTCTTCTCTGTTTCATATTGGTCGCTCGGTGCGGAATTCCTCCTCCTATAACAATACAATGTATTTTGCTAGAATTAATCGTGGTGAAAATTTGGTTAGAAACCAGCGCTCCCAAACAACGGAAGTAGATAAAGTCTGCGGGGTCAACAATGGCTGCACCTTGACTCAAGTCTACTATTCCCCAATTCAGACCTTCAAAAATTTGAACTGGTCCTAAAAATACGCAAACTACCGTAATTTTGTCACGAACAGACGGTATAACAGTGGCTTTCTGTCTTCTATCATGATTTTGGAAGCCATTGAGCATAATCTAGATTTAATTATGGTCGCTCGTTACGGAAGTACTCCCGAGAAGTAATGGTTACGGGTATAAATAAGTATGGGTTGGGGTTAAAGAGACGCAAAGATTAAAGGTATAGTTATTATGGGTTAAGGGAGAAGTAGAGAAGTAATTGTTGTGAGTTAAGGTACTTGCACGGAAAACTCTACTTTGTGTTTCCAGTCGACATCTTTATCAACAGCGTGCTGAGATTTATCCATTTCTATCTTCCTTGGCCTCAGTAACAGCCTGCTAAAAACTAGAAATCTTTAAGAAAAAAATTGATGAACCTACATTTTCTGAGAAATAAGCTGAGACTGAAACTGCTCGCAAAAGCAACCTTTATTTAAAAATGTATTTGTTAATTTGTCTTTTGTGTGTGTGTGGGGGGGTCATTAGCCTCCTAAGATAATGTTTTTAGGTGGCTTACTTTTGCTTGATTGTACAGATGGGCATATTCACATGTTTCATTATTTTACACTTTGACCTTTGTTTGTTTGAGTAAAGTGATATACATTGGCATAATAATTGTCATTTAAGTACTGGTGAACATTAGACAGCAAACAGACGGAAGCAACCATAGGAAGGAGAAAGAGTAGGACCTACCAGTGACCTCATCCAACCACCTGGACAGACAGACAGAAAGAGGGACTGACCACTGGCACCCTCCAACCACCAACAAAGGCAGGCAGAAACAGCAGAGGGAAAGAAAAGAAGTAAAACCTGCCAGAGACGACCCCTCCCCAACCACCCACACAAACAAGCAGAAACGAGAGTGGGAAAGAAAGAAAGAAGAACCTACCAAAGACATCACCCAGTCGTCCACTTAGACAGACGGAAACAACGGAGGGAAAGAAAAGAAGTACGACCTACCAGTGGCGCCCCTGAACCACCTACCCCTTGTGACATTAGAACCCAAACTGACACCAAACATCTGAGTTGTCAAAATCCTATTCCAAAGGCTATCACTGTGAGAAACGTCGGATAAGGTTTAGCCAGACAACAATTACAGACCGTGCCCCAGACAAATTTGTCAATAGCAAAGTAAATTACGAAATTGTATTTGACGCTCCTTGCAACGCCATAAGGTTACATGTTTTAATAGCTGGGATTCGAATATATTTCCATCTCCGATAGGTCAAAGCCAAATGAAAAAAATGGTAAAGTGCATTTCTGTAGGACACAACGTCAAACCTTGCTGAGCTTCGACCCCCAACCCCCACCCCACCCCCTTTCAAACTCGCAATCTCAAGATTATGAGTCCGATAGCCTAACCACTAGACAACGTACGCTGCTCTGTCCACAGGTACCATTGGGTAAGATTAACTAGCTCTGTATAAACTAGACTCACAACTCTTATCCCAGTCCAGAGTCATCTCAGTCGCACCCTGTTACCTGCCGAAAGTATTGCTCGGACTCTGCTTCAGTATGAGTTAACGACACTTGCGACATAATGTCTTATAAGTGCCGGCACAGACTCACACAATGTCGAAACGACCAAAACATGCAGTAAAACTGAATGTTATTATAATTTTATTATTATTATAAGGCCTAAGTTCATGTAAGTCATTGTGACACCTTAATGATATACGCCCTTCCTTGAAAGTCCCTAATGTAAAAACGTTGGATTTCCCCGTAATCAGTGATGTGATATCGCAACAAACTCATGATCAGGTTGTTATAATCACCAATACGCTGTTATCTTCAAGTGCTTGGGAAAATACGCTGGTGTTGAGTGTTGTGTTACGAAAGACAATATACCACAGTGATTATTTGAACTACGGAGAAACTTGGTGGTATAAATGATCTCTTCCTGGGACGTTGCCTAAGACGTAAGAAAAATTCGAGAATATATAACCCAAACGATTATCCAAACGACTAAGCAACCCTACAGTCTTACAGCCACTAAGCCGCTTCAGTAGGTGAGTGTTTTTGAACATTTTTAAGCATTAAAAGGCTGATTGTGAATGACCGATTGTAGAATTTTTATAACTTTTATTGAGTATCAGTCTTTCTGCTGAGATTTTGTAACCCTCTGAGCACGAGTTGGCCTTGACAAGGGTGATCGAAGCCCGCCTCCTAAAATATCTAAATTGTGTCATTGGAGGTGTAAAAATACCCACATTTTAAGGAAAACCAAACAGTGCCCGGAAAAAGGCATATGTCACTATTTTCTATTTTCACCGTTGTGTATTGTGATCTATTGGTGCCCTGTACCATTGTATCCATCATGCCCATTTTTATAATGAAAAACCGTTTTTATAGTGACATAATAAACTAGTCGCAAATGGAGAGAACGGTCGTAATCCAAATGAACACGTAACAGAAAGATAGTTGTCTTCGAAATTATTTTGCCGTAAAGAACACAGCTTTTTCCCCTTGTGCCAGGCAACGTTTTACGCTTCTTTCAACACAATTTAGATCATTAAGGGTGGTATTCTTCATCCCTATCTCTCGGTACCATCCCGGAGCAAATAGCATTCAAATTTTCTTTTTTAAAATCAAAATTAATAACAAGGTATATGTTACATCAGCAACAAGCTATAAACTGTATCATACTTTGTCAAACCATTCTGGCAAACGTATGTTAAAACAGTGAAAAAAGCCATAATTTCCCTACTGGTCTTTAGTATTTGCCTTAATTTATTTGTCGTTTTACTAATAATGTGTTTCACAGTTCTTAGTTGAAACCACAGTTCAAACAGCACCAACCCCCCCCCCCCCCCCCCAAACCCTTTTCCCCTGCCAGTCTTGCAGAACTCAGATAGACAGGAGCAGCGAAATGTTGATGTGAGATTTTTTTTTCAATTAGTAACACGTACTTGTTTAGATTGCATAAAATAACGCAGGTTCAAAATAATAGAATACATTTCTACTCAGCGTTTGTGACAAAATTTGTTTCTTTTTTTTTCTCCTCCAAGGTCCTGACGTAAAGACATATCTTAGCTACTACTCTCTACAATGGCTTTCAACTACTGTGCATTTAAGACCATCCTCGTCGTCGTTTGCCTCCAGCAGTTAAGCCTCAACCCTGTTAACACCCAATTTGAAATGCCCATAGAAATGCCTATTGAAGTACCCGTGGAAGTGCCAAACATTCCAGTAGAGGTGCCAAACATTCCTGTAGATTTGCCAGATGTCCCGGTAGATTTGCCAGATATTCCGATAGATTGGCCAAAACTTCCTGTAGATTTGCCGGACATTCCAGCTGATGTGCCAAAAATCCCCGAAGGTGAACCAAAAATTCCGGCAGAATCACCAAACGTTGACAGCAAAGTTGACAGCGACGATGACGACCATGCACACCCTCCACACCCTCCACACACCCATGGTCAGTTAAATGAATAAAATTATGAATGAGTTAAGAAACAAATCAGTAAGCTTGTCAATCCGGCTTGGTAGGGTACTTGCTTATTATTTAATTAATTCTTCATTGTGTCAGTCAGTTCATTCCATAATTAAGTTAGGTGAATTTACCTACTGTTTTGTGTATTAGCTACTTTGTTTGTTATGTTTCAGTTGCATAATTAATTATTTCTTTACCTTGTTGGATATAGTGTTAGGTACCTTGTGGGACTAAAGAAAAAGATCACTTTGTAGTGTATGAAAATATACCGCCAAATAGATGCTACTCATATAAGAAGAAGATCATACAAAACAACTTTATTAAGTTACTGATTAGACGTGAACATCAGCCTAGATGGTAAACTCTCATGTCTTTCCGGTTCTTCATCCGACGCACCATTTCACCCACTGAGAGTTTGAGCCAAATAAAAGACAAAGGGGAAAGGTGCCGCTGACACTGCTCAGCGAAGTTTTCATAGTGGGGGTAAAAGCTTTGAAATTGTTAAACATCTCTTGAGACCGAATTTACAATAGTATCTAAACAAAAGAGGCCCCTGGTTTCACACACGGGATCTCGAAAATCTTCCAAATCTTTCAGCTTAGTTTATTTTAATCGGGTTCAGGTTAAAAGTTCGGGTAAGAATTAGGGTTAGGGTTAGGGTTTGGGTTTGGGTTTACGTTTGGGTCAGGGTCAATTCAGGATTAGGGTTAGGGTTAGGGTAGGAGTTAGGTTTTTGGCTATTTTAAGGGATAGGTTTCAAGTCAAGGTTATCGTTAAAGTTAAAGTTAAGGTTCAGGTAAATATCACTAGCCCTAACCCTAACCGTAACCGTAACCTTAACCCTAACCCTAACCCTAACCTTAACTCTAACCTCCTAAACCTAACCCTAGCCCTGACCTAAACCTAAATCTAAAACCTAATCACAACCCCTTGTCCAAACCTAACCCAAAACCTATCCTGAATCTTGCAAATATGAATAAGAACGTACATGTCTGGAAAATGCCGAGATTTTTTACTTGTAAAATCTTCCTTCAGGCAGCCATGGGCATGGTGACGAGCATACCAGCGATGTCTGTCAACAGGCGAAAAATAGTTTTCTGAACAGAGCACCGAAAGGGGCTTGTGATGCTGTCAAAACTACCGTAAGTGTTTGAAAGAGAGGGGGGAAGGGGTGAGAGAGAGAGAGAGAGGCATAGAGAGAGAGGGGGGGGGTAAGCGAGGGGGAGAGTGGGGAGAGGGTTGGGAGAGAGGGGAAGAGGGGCAGGGAGAGGGGGAGAGAGTGAAAAGGTGAGAGGGAGAGGAGGAGGTTGGAGGCGGGAGGGAGGGAGAGAGAGAGAGAGAGAGAGAGAGAGAGAGAGAGAGAGAGAGAGAGAGAGAGAGAGAGAGAGAGAAAGAAGGAGGGAGAGAGACAGAGACAGAGAGACAGAGAGAGAGAGAGAGAATTTGAGTTTTAGGTAAACCAGGGGGTGAGGGGGGAAAAGGTGGGAAAGGAGGGGAGGAGGGGGAGAGAGAGGTTGAAGGGGAGAGGGTGTTTGTTTACTTCGTTTCTTGCGTTTCTTGTTTTCTATTCAAGGGGGAGGGAGGGGAGGGGGGGGGGGGGGGCATTTTCAATCACTCACCAAAGATACGACTAGCAATAAATTACCCAGGATGCTTTCCTAGGGTGGTGAGTACATGAACATGTATTTGTTTGTGGTCAGGTACATGACGGACATGCTTCAATTGCTAGATGTAGAGTTATTCTAAGTAGATCTACAGTAAACGTAGAAAAAATTGTGGCGCAAGTTATTGTCATATATTTCCTAAACTATCGGACGTAGACTACATCAATTTGTATTAACAGATCGATATTTAAAAAAAACACTTGTTAGCTATATTCTAGAAAATTCCATAATAAATACTAATACAAAGATCCAAACGGGTGGTTTCTACAGATTTTAAAAGGTGTACAGTTGGGTCAATATCACGTTTAAAAGCAAGTCGGTCCTTTTTTTAATATCGTGACACTATTTTCATTGACCACGTTTTGAGAACCTTTTGTGTAAAAATGTGTTTACTACGAAATTAATTTCTTGTTGTTTTTGCCACTATTGTTGGGCTGTAGTGTAAGCCAAATGCGTATGCAAAATGTGTGTGTGAAGTGGGGAGCGCTGTGAACAATCACATTTTCGGCATGATAGAGATTCATAATATTTTATAGAAATTTACGAAGAAAATTTTTATTATGTAGCCGTAACAGTTGTGGAAAAATATGATTACGTTAAGACAAATTTATACAAACTGCTGAGCAAAGTATGGATGGCATTGATTCCCCCGTTAAAGATATATTTGAAGATAAGTTGCGGCACGAATTTTTGACTACACTGTAACTCAATTTTTCTGGCTTATTTCTAAAAATAGAACTCTCCAACGAAACTTGTTTTAGCCAGTTTAGAGCAAAAAGATTTACATAAATAGCTACTAAAGGAAGAGTAATTCCAAGTAGCCTAACATATTTTAGCTGGTTTAGAGAAAAAAGATTTATTGACATTTCTCAGTTGCTCGATGTAGAGTTATTCCATGTAACTAATTTTGACTGATTGAGAGCAAAAACTGTTCACTGACATTTGAACTAGATAAACCATTAGTAAACTGATGGATAGACACGACGAGGGTGTGAAATATTAACGATCAGTTATACACAAAGGAAAAGATGTCTGTATGCTTTCTGCTTATAATATGTTCTTATTAAATCAATGTCACATTAGGAGAATGTTAATGGGGACACATCCGCTTGAACTTTTCATATTATGTCGATTCGTAACTTGAGCTCTTGTCAACCCTTTTGCGCCGATGTCTGTAGTGTAGAAATCACGCTCTTCGCCGCCACAGACTGAAGATGGAAGTTCGATTTCCTAGTGAAGAAGTCTTTAAATCGAGTATCTTCGTATGTCACTGTCAGCTGGGATGCTTTATTCCACATTGTCTTGGTTTCCCCTATAGATACATTGAAGCAGCCCACTTTCTAAATAAGTTAAATTTAACTGTGACTGATTTTCTTTTTCAAATTTACTAGTAAGTGTTTTTACTCCCCCATCGACATAGTTTAGACCATTTAGGAAGCGGGCTTTGACCTGCCGATAAGGGCCGACCTGTTCTGAGAGTGATACAACATCTCAGCAGAAAGACTGATATATTATTCGATAAAAATGTTCTCCGCTCCAGAATCGAACTCAAGTTTCCTGCCTGCATCGGTAAAGTACCTATCTGTTAAACCACAGACGCCGCTAAATTATGACGGTTAGTGGTGTAAATTTTAATGATTTACATCAACACGAAAACGTGACATGTGAACTTGTGTCTTGTCGGTTTGTTACTTGCACTCTTCCTATCCGTCTGGGCCGATGGGTAGGCCCACGAGAGGACTTGGGTTCGATTCCCCATGGAGGAAGGTTTTTGTTTTGTTTTGTTTTGTTATGGGCTTTTGGGTTTTTTTTGTGGATTTTGTTTTTTGTTTTTAAATCGAATATCTCTGTCTACCTCCTGCACTGCTGTATCTCATTCTGTCCGGGCTGGCCCTAACAGGCAGGCTCGATATACCCTAAACATTCAAACGTGTGTCTATAGTGCACATAAAGTATCCGCGATTATTAATTTATAATCATGCGTTTTGTTTAGATTTGGTAATATTTTAGAAGTTGTTGAGAGGGAACTGAAATGTGTACTATAAACATGCTATTATTATCACTCTAATAATAATAATAATAGTTAGTTTAGTTTTAGTAGAGGTTTTACGGCGCTCGCAACTGCATAAGGACATATGAGCGCCAAAAGATTAGAGGTGTTACAAGAGAGTAACAAACATAAAAAAGAAGGGGAGATAAGGATGATAGATGTTTGATAGGAAAGAAGAAGCAAACCACACCAGACCACCCGCCAACCA